CCATCTGATCATTAAAAAATGTAAATAGAGTAATATCAATAGTTAAAATATAAATAAGTAATAGTAAGTAAAGCCATACATGGCATATTTCTATTTCAAATAAACATTACCAAACAAATATGAGAAGAACCACCAAATCATGAAGAAAAGTAGTGTTATAAATAAATAAAGGTAAAATAAATGAAAATCGAATGTTTTATTCTATTTTCGCAAGTGTCATTAACACAATAAATTGATCTTGAAACCGCCATATTAATTCATTAATGGCAACACGAAGTATAGTGACCATCAAGCGACCCAACTCAAATGAAGTCGAGTGCCGTACACGATCTAACACAGTCGGAACGATCCATTCAACAATTAAAACACTTCAAAAGGAGAATCTACTCGAAAGTCTCCACGAGCTTCAAGAACTCAGGGAACACAAAAGATCTAAGAGTGTTAATAGTAACGTACCACTCTTCGCAGACCCATCCTCCGAAACGCAAGACCGTTACGATGTACTCCTCTTCAACTTGAAGGAATTCGGACTCATCGACACATCTATTAATTATAACGAAAAACGCGCAAGCACTTCTTTGTAACTGAATTATGTATTAGCCTTCATATTTTGAACGAACAACATTACGTCTTATAAATACAACGAGAAAAAAATGTTCTGTGTTTTTATTCTTTAAAATAAACAAAACAAAAAAGCACGAGATTTTTCAGAGATTCATTTTTTTTCAAGTGCGTTAAATTTGGGTGTTTAACTTTTAAAATAGAACATTACAACTTCCCTATTTTTTTGGTATTAAAAAGAAATTTATTAGTATAATATTGTTTGATTATTGTTTTTTTATAGTTTATAAAGAAAAAAAAAGTAAATGAAAATATCACGTAAATATGTAAAATGGTTCGATTAACTCCATTTTCGAGATTTTTTCGAGTTGCAAAAAAACTTTGAGTTATTACCCCTGAGTCAATTATTTTGATGATTAAATGAACATTTTTGAGTTTTTTTACAAAGATCTTTTTCTTTTTCTAATTCAAGTGATAAAAATAAAATGATTTATTAATATAATAATTGTATTTTTTTTGTTATTTAATATTGTAGTCTAATAAATAATATTATAAATTATGACACATACCAATTATAGTTTGTGTATCGATTATAATAGTATTTGTTAATTTATCAATATTAAATATAACTTAACTAATACTTGTAGTTTATTACAATTACAAGTATTTTGACTTAAAGCAGAAACCTTTAAAAAACCAAAAAAAATAAAACTCAAAATCACACTAAATTGACAAGGATACTATTTTCTGCTTCTTTCATAGGGATGAATTTAGTCTGTATATCGCTACATATGTATTCCCATATCTCAAGTGCGCCCATCCCTCCTTTGCAATCGATAGAATATAAACTACACCCCAATTTGTGTGCGTGTTGTTCGCATATATCTGTTGTGAGGGTGTGCGTAACATCCACGTGTGTACCAACCAATATCTTTTTGCACCTTTTCGAGACACAGTGAGTGCAATATTGGTCCCACTTTAAACAGTGTTCTAATGTATTTAATTCTGTGTAGTTAAACACATATATCAACATCTCACAGTTTGTATAGAACGAGCCACCTCCATTCATCTCGTCACTCTTAGGGTCATGGAATCGGAGTCTAACATCTTTGCCATTGACTTTCATATTATGTTCTACCTTTTTTTTACTATTATTGTTTTTATTGTAAACTATAAATATTTATTACAAGTAAATATGAAAGATTATTATTCCCTGTTCTAAATAAAAAACACAAACGACTGGTTTTGAAAAAGGCGTATTATCGGGCGTGAAGTCATATTTGACAAGACGACGAACTATAGACGTCTTGCCAACGTTTGCATCACCAACTACGCATATATTATAAACGTATCCTTTGTTCTCAAATTGCGAGTATGGCACTGTCATCACCCCACCAAATTATGCAATTTATATCAACTTTTTTGGACGAATTTTTATTGGAGAAAATTCGTCAATTTCTAAAAGCATATTTGGTTCTCAAAAATTACAACAAAGGAAATATAATTATTTATTAAGTTAATAATTTGTTTATAATTTTATCAAAAAACTGTTACAATTAAAATGCCAAGTTGTATTTTTTATACAAAAAATCTTATATTTTATTAAACTAGAAAGTTGTTATTATTTAATTATAATATATAATAAATAATGAAACGAAAAATCACATTCCCATTTCGACAGTTTAAAATTTTTAAAAATTTTTCATATTATTTTTAAAAAACTATAATATAACTTTGTTTTTTAAATTTTTCTTAATTTGAAAATTATTATTAAAAATAATAAAATGAAATTATAATTATAATTATTTTTTTTATCATTTTTCAACCAAAAATTTATTATTATTATCTAAATAATAAATTATTTAATAAAATAAGTTTTATTTGAAATCTATTTTTTTTTATTATTTATTCACAAAACTATAAAATATTGTTAAAATTTATAAACAGGGTTAAAATAAATCCCATAATAACATAATCTTATATATATAAGCAATTATTAACAATGATAAGATAATAAACAGAAGATTAGTAATCGGATATATAAATGATGACTATGAACAATCTCTGATCAATGATTAAAACTTTCAGTCTGATATATTTTAAATATCTTTTAATACATAAATTAATTATTTTAATTTTATATGATTGTTAAATTATATTAATAAAACATATAAATATTATTAAATTATTAAAATTTTTTATACTCTGTAAAAAGATTATTTTTGAATAAACAAAAAATGTTTAATTTTATTCTGTTTTTATTCAAATTATCGGGAAAAAATCCATTGTTCAAAACTCAAAGAAAATCCAAAAACAAAACTTAAGTTTTTCCCAAAACTAACAACCAATAAATATAATATAAATAATTATAAATATAAAATATGTCATGATTTAAAATAGAACACTGTGTTTTTCGAACTGTTTCTTTATCATATTATTATAGTAATAATCATTTTGTTTCGTTGGTGGAGCAGAATTTTGACGTAAGTAGAAGCAGAAGCAGATTGCTCAAAATGGTAATGAGCTTAGATTTTTCTTTTTGAATAAACAAGTTGAGTGGGTAAGATTTCCCGGGTTTGCATTTTGTGTGAAGCAAGTCACTTTTTTGGGTAAAAAAAAAATCAAAGCTCATTTCGAAAAGTCTCCCACTTTCTTCGACTACCTGAAATATCAAACTCCTGAATAAAATAATAAATCCGATAAAATGGTCAAGTCAAACCAATTACCTCAACACTCGACATTTTGGTGGTAAATAATTAACTTTTATATAGTTTTTCAAACTATATAAAAATAGTCTGTCAAAGTGACGTGGAACGGAACAACATAAAAAGCGTCACAAAGACTAGGAATTGCAATCACAAAATTCTAAGATGACACACCTCGAAGCAGTCTTTGTTGTCACAATAGTCCCATACCTCCCCTCGTTTGAAGATGTTATCACTCTCAAGCTTGTTAATAAGAAGTACCTTGAAGCAACTAACATGGTCAGAATATGCGCACAATATTTTACAAAAAGAATCTCTCGAAACGAATTCGAGACAGATGAGATGTACAAACTGAGAGAGAAGTGTAATAAGAATCTCCCAGAAAACATCTTCGAAATACTTCCTTCAGCCGAAACACTCTGTGTTAATAACTTGGAACTGAGAGGAAAGAAAGAAATATTGGATCGATTCAAGTTATTCAGATTTAATAAGTACACTTTTGAAGACCAACCATTCGCAGAAGACTTGAGAGACAGAATAGCAGTGCTCCATGTCGACATCAACAGAGCTTGCAATTTAAGTCTCTTTACCGCATTAAGAAGAGTCACCATATACAACTTTCAGTGGGCGATTCCTATCGAGTCGATTTTTCCCAACAAAAGTCAGAGACTTGATTTTGTCAGAATCGAAACAAAGTTCGTCAACACTTTTCACCCGAAGTTGAAAGAGTACCACTACTTCGACAAAAAAGTGATTGAGATCTTCAACGCCACAATCGTAAACAAAGATATTTTGAATGATATGAAAATGTATGCGGAAGTCTGTTTTACTTCGTCGGAAAGTGGAGTAAAGGGCAAAGAGACAGTGACCAAATTCACAAATAATGTTGACGATAAAAGTAACGAAATTTACATACCGAACAACAACAGCGCAGTTGTAGTAGAAGAGGAGACAACAACACCAATCGACTTGTCGCAGCGAAACTTCAACTTTGCGGAATCAGTGAAATCCATCAACCGCCTGAAACTGGACAACCTCGATTTTCTTAAAACAGTAAAGTGCCCAGAAATAGTAGGAAAATTGCCGCATTCTGTCGAGCACCTCGCATGCTTTAATTTTGACAGAAACAGCATCCCATGGAACAACAACTTGACTTCACTGGAAGTTGAATCAAACAACACCTTTTCATCGCTGCAATTTGACGTGTTAAACAAATTGCAGAAACTCAAATTGAAATCAACCAACGTCGGCAATTTAGAGTTTTGCTCAGCGGTATCGCTTGCTATGATTGGGTGTTCACTCTCTAATGTATTTAAGTTTCCAAGAAAGTTGATGAACCTGAAAGTGGACACTAAAACACTCCAAGACCTCCCAACACTCTCGCAGTGTCAGAGTTCACTCAGCTCACTTGAGATTGAAGGGAGTCTCCCCACCAATTTTGACTTGAAAAAAGAGTGTGCAAATTTAAAGGTTTTGTCGTGTTCCGAATTGCCCAAAAATTTGCCAGACTCTCTCATTGCGTTACAAATCAAACAACAGCCACAGAATTTCGACTTGGACATATCCCAACTTAAACATCTTGAGAAAGTATACATATCACAAAGACTTTTAAACTCGTGCGTTTTACCAAAGTCGGTGAAAGAACTCACACTGGATGTTTCGACAAACGTGGTAAAGGACTACAAGCAATTGAAACTCGAAAAACTTCACATCATCTGCATTTCAAATTTAGAGGAGTGGGCACATCCATCTCTCAAACATTTGGTTGTTGGTAATTCCTCGCATTCGTGTTTTCCAAACACAATGAACCAACTCTTTCCGTCTGTGCGCGACTGGAACCAGTACGACGATGAACTTTAATTGTATTTACTTTACATAATCTGGTTATTATGCTATTCATCATTGCAAACACCTTTATTAAACAGATGTTTGAGAACATCAAAGCCTCAAACAAAGTCAGTGAATAGTAAATTACTTACCATTCAAAAGTACATGTTGGAGTGCCAAGTAATTTTCAAAACAACAAACATCAGGCCCATAAGAACTGAGATAACAAATCAAATAGTCCCGTTTTTCAGTTGAAATCACCGTCTCGATTGTCGAAGAAGTCCCACACGGGTGTATAAAGAACATGTATAAGTCGTCAATAAGTGGATGTTCGTCAAGTGTGATGAACATGTTTATGGAATCTGTGTTGTCTGGGACTTCTCTGCCGTTGAACTTTTTTAATATCTCTGTTGCTTCATTCAATTTGACAACAAACCGATTTTCTATTTGGTCAAATATAGAAACCCCAAGTTGTGGGACTTGGTACGACGTGTTGTAAATTACATTGTGTGTCATTTTATAACGTTTTTTGAAATTCTTGTTGATTAAGTCAACCTTAAAGGCATCAGGTTCTTCTTCTATAATGTCATCGTCGTTTTCTAAATGTATTGGTGTGGTGAGATCACCAATCTCGCTCTCATGGAAGATGTAACCAAGAGGGTCCCAACGCCATTCAAACTTACCTGATTCGTGAAGAGCAGTGATAACACGTTTGGACTGCTCCTCAAAGTCGGCTTTTGAAAAACTCATTTTGTAAAGTCCTATCGGAGTTCACTCAACCCTGTTCTATTGCTCTTGATATGCCAATTATCAAATTATAAAGATACCATAAGATAAACCATTGCATTAGTATTTCTATAAATATTTCACACAGGAATGATATTTCTGGAATAATGGTATGTCCCTAATAACCCGTTGTATTATACCTTTTCTGTTGTATAATAAAAAAGTCGAAACCAAAAAAAGCATTATAATACTTTTATTATATATCAATAGTTATGACCATTAAACAAGACTCAACGTTCTATCTAAGATATTTGAGTTTTGAACATTAAAACTCCATTACACAACGCCACAACAACTCGTCATTTATAATATTAACTAATTTGGTTTATAAATTAAAGACATAAAGAATCTTTGTATTAAAAATTACTCACAAATCATCGGTTGTAAGTAGTCAACTAAAACTTGTTCCCCAAGCAATCCTTTGTGTTGATATTTACCAAAGTACTTCACCTCTTCAGCAAATCCCGGTGTATTACAAAATTGTAAAGATTCAATATTGACAACGCCATCTCCGTTATCGTATGTCACATTGAAACTGGAATACACATCACTTCCTTCAAGTCTTCTTGGTGTTTCAAACCCATCGGAAAATGTGCAGTACACTTTAACAGGAGCCTTCTTGATAATCGGAGCCGTTGGTTTTATCTCATTGTATAACTTTTTACCATACACCTCCATACCAGGAAGTTTTTCATACAAATCGCCAATATTGTCAACAGTGTAAACATCGTTTCCAACTTTGACTAACTCTCCAGTAATTTGTTCTCCACGAGGTGTCATGTAAAACATCGCCGGAATGTGTCTGACCAAATCAATGGTCATATCCTTGGGGACTGGAACACCATCAATACCATTCAACACCTCATTCAACAATTCAACAGCACCAAGCCAGGCACCACCAACAGTGACCCATCTTTCAACATAGTCTTCTGGATTAAATTTACTTAATGCATCAAATGTGACAGGGCATCCCATGGAGTGGCTCACCAACACTGCTTTCTTGCCTGTTTTCTCTTTAATACTTTTTAAGAGGTTCTCAAGTCTCTTCGCATAGAAATCACCGCCAGTGTATCTCCAGTCATACGGCGCTCCGTATAAATCGACGCCATCAACATATCCCAATTTGTTCAATTTCTTGATGAGTGGGCGGAAATACTCAGTTAACGAGCATGTCAACATCCCAGGATCCAAGCAACTGCTACTATACGTTGACCCAAACTGTGGGACTGTCACATTAACACCTTCTAAGTCTTCTAAAACACCTGTTTCAGTGTTATAGACGGGTGTCATGTACTTTAATAAACACCGATTCTTCTTGGGATTGAGGTCTTCAGCAACTTGCCACACTCTAAAATTATCACGTTGTCGAGCACAGTCTTCAGGCATTTCTAAATCGTCTGGGATATTCACCTCGGCTTCAAGAACACTAGATAATATACCATGGATCAACACAACGGGCTTTCTTGTTGAGCACTTCGCGGAGATAGCAACTGCTAACAATAGATAAAGTACCATAAGAGTATTTATTAAGTTTTCTTGTCATTTTTATATCTTGTTGATTTTTTGTATTTAAAATTTTTAAATAATATTTATATGATATTTTAAGCTCTTAAGATTTGTATTTTTAACATATTAAAAAATTGTAGTTATATTACTAATATAAATAATTGGTTGTTTTTTTATTTAAAGTTTGGTTCATTTTAGTTAATTCTGCGTCGCCAATTAAAATCTTCCAAATTCTTCATTCTAATCTTCTTTTTAAATAGTATTTTTTTAAATAAAAAAACTATATATTATTTTATTTGGAATTATATTTAATTAATTTAAAGAATTATATTTTTTATTATTCTCAAACTAAATAAATATGACCATAATGAACAGTAAAGTTTTGAATAATTCAGACCATTTCATATTAAGAACTACAAAAAGGCACTCCTCTATTTTCAATGGCAAAGTCTTACGAAATCACCTTTGTGAAAGGGATGAATTGGCCCAAGGTCGATACCTCGAGCTGGTGCAACCCGTTTTGTGTCTTTTTAGATAAGGGGATGGAGATCAAGACCACTCATGATAACAACACCAGTGATCCCAAATGGGATCAATCCTTTAGTGTTGTGTCCACTGGTGATCTTTTACAGATTGATTGCTACGACTGGGAGAAGAGTGGTGAGAATGTCCTCATAGGTAAATTTACAATCGACTTTGCCGACTTTTGCGATATCTCAGTCAACAAAAATATCAAATTTGACATTGTTCTAATCGACTCTTTCGTCTCAAAGAAGAAAATCCAAGACCGTCCAGCTGTTGTAGTGATGACCATCACCAACGTTGAAAAGCGCAAAAAAGAAGTCGAGGAACAAACACGTAAAGAAGAGGAAGAGCGGAAAAAAGCCCAGTTTGTTGAAGAAAATGAGCGGAAAGAGGCAATGGTCGAGTGTAAACGGCAGCTTCGTGAATTTGCAGAAGATGGGTTAAAAGACAAGTTAAAGACGGTTCAGTACCAGCTCATGACTTGGACCGCCTTATCAAATTATCACATCACTTACACCACAGATGTTGACTCTTGGGTTGAACGCGAGGTGAAGTTAAGTGTTAATAATGTCAAGAATTACATGTTTTTAGTCATCGATTCAAAAGGAAACCTTTTTGGAACGTACGTTGACGAATTGGTTGATGGCAATTCAAAAGGTTCAGTCTTTCTATTCACTCTAAAAAGTCCAATAATGGGAGTCTACCTTCACAAATACACACCAAAGAGTATTGAAGATGGGATAGTCTCACTAGGTAATGGCGCATTTTTTACTGTCAAAAATGGGTTCTCCATCTCCTCATCTTCATGTAGCATTGAAAATGCAATCAATCAAGAATTCGTACAAGACGATGGCAAAGAGTTTGATGCAGACGTTTTTGTCGGCGCAACATCGCCCAAGACATTTTCTGCTCGATGCGTGTTTGGCATTCAGTGGTACTAATTCTAAATTAACGAAGTTAAATATTATAATTATAGTTCCCAAGTTCTCAGTCAAATTGGAAATTGCTTTGTTTCTGGAAACAGTCGATGCAATTCCCAAGGATGTTATGAACAAGTGTTTCCGTCACTGTGAAGTCCTTTTCTATTGAATCCATTTCTTCGTCCGTCATGTCGTCGGTGAGTTCGTATGGCATAAAGTAATCGAAAAATGATCCGACGGCAACTCCATTAATTCTGTGTGGGTCTTTCCCTTCCACAAAGTGTGCGCCAGAGCTTTTTTTAAGTTTTTTAGTTGATATTATTACATAGTAAACTCTATTAAAAACAAACTTAATAATGATTGGTGTCTCGTTCAGGTGTCGTGGTGTGAAAGTGACTTTCTTTGTAAGTGTGGTGTGTAACAAGTATGGATTAGGGTTAAATACAAATGTTACGGTGTAAGACATCCTAAGTGTCTTTTTTGATATCGATCCAGGGTACGGGACAATTTGACTATTAAAAGAATGACACCTGACGTCCTTTAAATACATCAAAATCTTCACATCCTTTGGGCTTGTCGCATAAAAGTCGAAAAACCTCGAGTGGAACAGAACGGTGTACCAAAACCCTTGTAACTTTGCTATCTTCGATTTAACCGATTCGATGATCTTTTGAGTGTCTTCAATGTACTTAACAAAGGCTCTCCAACATGTTTGCTCGTACTTCAACTCGTCTTGGTCGACAACGTTCTGTTTTGTGATTATTTAATTGCAACTTTTATTTTAATTATAAACAACTATAAGTATAGTATTTGTTTTACTCCACCGTTTCAACTCGAAACAACAAACTTGGAGAAATTCACATCGTTTAATCATAGCCAACACCTCAGGAGTACAATTCTCTACGTAACGAATATAATTCTATTTGTCAGCTCATGTGCAGAAAATAGTATAACACAAACATCGCAAGGAGAGTAGTCATTATCATTGTCCTCCTCCATTTGGTCATTTCCAGTTTTCTTCAAAAACAATTTATAGCACCACAAAAAACATTTTCAAACATATAAAATGTTATTCAATTACCATCATTTAAAATCTTAAAATGACGTCGGGAAACTCAAAATCATCAGGTAAAGTCTCCTTCTGTCCACTCACCGCAAGGGCCAACACCATTTTCTTTCCGGTGAACTCGACTTTCTTGGCGTCGAGGTACAACTGTTTAAATGTTTTGTCAAGCTTTTTGTGTGCACTTGGAATGAAAGCGCAGTATAACAATACATCCTCTCCGGTGATGCTTTCAACATCAAATGGGTACTTCGAGGAGATCTTTTCACATAACTGTTTCACAGTACAATTGCCGTCAAACTCAAACTTGTCCCAAATAGTCACCTCCATCCCTTCACATAACTTCTTCTTCACAACCCTTTCAGGCTCAGTCCCGTCCAAATACCCAATGGCCAAATTCAAGAAAGAGTTGTGGTAACTCTCCAACGGCTTCTTCAACAATATTTTGTATAATTCAATACATTGAAGGCCAGAGACCACCGCCGTTGTTGTGATCATGGCTGGTATAATTTTACCTGAGATAAATTTCGTCTTATTGAAGTCGGCCGGTTGAATGCAGTAATTCATTGCGCGCAAGTTACTGCACGCCGTCACAAACGCGATGTGGTGGTTTGTATCGTCATCCTTTTCAAACACAATTGGGCGGACCAAATGTATGTGCAGTTGAGAAATAGTCTCTTTCAATTGTTTGACTGCACTCATTAAATTCTTTTCATCATCTTTCACGATACTCATTGGTTTCTCCTTCAAATATTCTTCACATAATTCGCACATTGTATCGCGTGACATCGTTTCTTTGATATTAAAACACTCTGCCCTCAGTAGCGAAGCAGCTTCTATAAAGTCGACACACGTTTTCTCATTTCTGTTGAATGGAATAACATGGGGGAATTTTTTTGGCGCATGCCAGAATGGAATTCCTTCGTCAGTTACTGCGGTTTCAGGAAAGTCTGTTATCAACTTTTGAATTGAATCGACAAAGTAGTTTTGATACTTACCAAATGCCCACTTCACACAATCTTTCATGTCTTTTGGGGCAGTTGTACTTCCGTTGTCAATGATCGATTCCAAAATTGCTAATTGGTTGTTCGGAGTTTCCTTGTCGAGATTCTCAAAAAACTTCTTCTGGTCCGAGTTGTAACTTTCAATTTGGTCAATGTCGTTTTTAAAGAGTCCTTCAAACCTATCCCTTGCCCATTGAATTGTATGATCAATGTTATTTGGAAAATTATGCAACGTACACATCGGAATACTCTTCTCTGCACCTTCGTGAACACTTCCAGTTGCAAATGACTGTGTTACAAATGGAACAACAGTTAATGTGTTTCCTTTGGTCCCCATAGTACCTCCTTCAATCATTGGAAGGCCGTATAACAAGCATTGTGAATCAACGTAATTTCGAGCTTGTACATTGTCGAGTGCAGTCGTCACACAATTCAAATTTTGGTAGAAATCCTCGTCAAAGACGTTTTCAGTTTCTGGTCCGACTCTCAGTTGGAAATCTTTGACTCTGATATCGGGGTTGATCACTTGAATCGATTCCTTCGCAACTTTGGACTTCGGTTGATTGATGTGTTTGTTTCTGAATAGAAATTGTCTCGACAAATTCGACTTCTCAATGTTGTCATTGTCTGTTATGAATATTTCACCACTCCCTCTGCCAACACCCATCATCGCCCACGTCTTGATCACTTCGCACCCAATAGCCCCAGCTCCAACCAAAAACATTTTGACATCTTCAATTTGCTTTTGTAGGGTTTTACCAATTACATCAATTTGGGAAGAATACCGAGACTCTTCACATTCAAATTCATCTTTCTTCAATTCTAAGTAATTGTCTGGGAGAACTTCTAAACAGTCAAAGACAGTGTACTGACAATACGGTGTATACTTTCCACTTGCAGCTTTCAAGACCTCTTGTGCTGCTATTCCTCCAAGCGCGGTGTCCACTGGTGAGATTGTCCCGTTGCTCATTAAGCAGAACATACGAGCAATTTTCTCGCTTTGTTCATTTAACTCGGCCTTAAGTTCTTTTAAAATTTCTATGAACTGCATACAGTCGTCTGTATCGTGCGACTTTGGAAAAGTACCAAACTTGTCTTTGAAAATCATTAGTCCATGGAAAAGTTGTTGGATCAAATACATTCTCTCAATCTTGGTCAAACACGAAAATGTAATCTCACCAGGTTCGTAGAGTCTTTCTTTAAGTGATTTGAAATGTAAGGTAACCCTCGGTTTAATTTCTGTCATCTTTCCTCCTTTCACAAACTTCGTGAACTTGGACAAGTCACCCACTTCAACAGAGTAACCGCTCCTCTTTGTCAATTTAAACGTCCTCCCGCCGTTCTCAGAATAATTCAACTCCTTCATCCCAACTATTTCATCAAATCTGACTTCGTCTCCGACTTCCATGTTACAGAAATCGTCTTCAACAAAATGTATAGTGTTGTCTGAAATTTCACTAATAATAAAACTCCTTGGATTCTCTCCATTGGTATCATTCACAACAAAATCATCTCCGAAATCATTGAAAATCATCGAGAAAACCCCTCTATTCACCGCATACACCATTTTTACATTGTGTTTTCTGCAATTATCGTTAACTGCAATGGACTCTTTCTCACCAAGTAAATTGGTTAACACCAAAATATCGTAGTCAGCGTATATCGAATCATTCGTTAACTCACGAGTCTCTGCGTTCACAGAAACAGTCGGGTTGAGTTCTTGAAACTTACTTGCTGTGGCGGAGCTGAGACTCTTCCCGATGTCTGCTTCACTGTAGTAAAAGTTCTGCCCAACCTCTCTAACACCACCTACAGTGTTATCCAAGAGCCCAACAGCTTTCACCGACATCAAAATGACGTTTTTCGCAATTTCACTTCCAATTCCACGAAGACCTACAATCAAAACTCGTGTGTTCATCATCTTCATTTGTGTCTCCTTTCCTATTGTATACAGTTGGCGACTCAACACTGCCTCGTCCATTGCTTTGGGAGTTCATTTTTTATTTCTTTTTATTGAAGATCAAGCAAATATTAATAATATTTGATTATTAATATTATGAAGTTTATATTATTTGAACTTGCTTAATTTTTTTTATTGAAATAATTCAACAATTTTAGTTAAGTTATAATAAAAAGCTATATAAGTAACTATATTTTTACTAATTAATTAATGCACTTTCTTTCTTGTTTCTATTGAGGTTTTTAAGTCCAAAAAATTGTTGAGAAACTTCAATACAAAAATAATTCACGTGAAAATGTTATTCATTTTGTTTTTTGATGATTATCCCCGACAGTTCATAACGGTTCTTATAATACCGATTCTTCTTTCAATTTTGGTTTGAAATTACTAATAATAAACTATAATTGAATAATTCTGAATAAAACTATCACTTTTGGAATTGAAACAAATTATAAAATGATGGTAAATTTAATTAACAAATATAATAAATGTTATGTTAATGACATATCATTGATAGCTTTAGAACCAAGAACGTTCTACTTATCTATTGGCTGAAATAGATAAGTAGATAATAGCACAAATCGAAACAGTATAACCAATCAATGAAACTGAGCCTACGCGCTCCAAAGAAGGACGACTTTATAAGAGGCCCATACTTTCACAGCATATTGAAGATATGTGTATATCTTCTCATATGTTTTGGTATCACATACACCCTTGAATTCACCCTTATTCCAATGGGTGGTGTGAAAAGTCCAATATATTCGAATATGTCTGGCTTTTGTATGTTCTTCCCAATGATAAGTGTATACCTGACCTATTTGTTTACACACACCCCACTCACTGTTGATTTAAAAGTGTGGTCCACACATCTCAAAGAGCATTGGATTTATATTATAGTCGGATACTTCATAATGCCGGTCTTCAGTTTACTTGGGGTCTTTACATTCTATGCGACACATCCCGATGCCATGGACATCAGTATGGGGTACATGATTAATAAACAACAGATTTTGAATAAATTCTATGACATACATACAACAGAGACGGGACTTCATGTCGAATTTTCGTATCAAATGATAGTTGCGTTGTTAATATCACCTATCATCAATTTAGGTGTAACCATTGGAGAAGAAATTGGGTGGCGACTGTTTTTGTTTCCCGAGATGTCGAAAATTTTAAATCCAAAGATCTCGACATGGATATGTGGGGTCATTTGGGGACTCTGGCACGCACCACTGGTTTACTTTGGTCACAACTATGGCACTGATTACGCGGCATGGCCTTATGCGGGTATTCTTATGACATGTGTGATGACGACATTCACTGGTAACATGTTGAATTTCTTCTACTTGAAAACAGGAAATGTATTAATACCAGCAATGATGCATTCCTCTTTGAATGCACTTGCCACTTTATACATTTACTTTATTGATACAATGTGGAGTGGATGGGAAACATTATCTGTTTTCGAACAACCAACAACAGTCGGTGTTTTCAATTTGATTCCGTTCATGATTGCTGGGTGTGTTGTCGTTGTCTTCATGTCATTCAGTGACGTCGACAAATTCAGAGAAGACTCTTCTTCCAAACAAGAAAAGGAGAATGTTATTAACAACGATCCACTCATATAGCACAATAATTCGATACTTTCAGTCTACTTTCTAGTTGTTTTTTCTTACAAAAGTATATGTAAACAGAGCAATTTACATTAAAAATAATTCGTATATTTAGTCCAAAGTTTTTGAAAAATAAAAAGCCGATAGGAACTTGAAAAAAGTTAATAATTCATGGAGAATAAAGGTACCGGCGGCTATAACCGGCATAACTACCCGTTTTGTCTTCCGTACCCATTGAAATTGCCAAAGAGGAATTTCACTAAAGGATTTGAAAAGATGAGAAAAGAGTTTAGAATCAACGAGCAGCTAAGACGGGAAAAGATGAAGGAAATGCTCAAGTCGGTCGACACGACTGGGAAATTGAAACTCAGACAAAACAAAGATCAAAGTTCGATTGCGGGGAGTATGCTTAAATTTTTAAAGAGTGAAAAGTGCTCGAATTGTGAGAAAGACATTTTGATTGGCTCTTTAGTGAATTATTGTGAATGTTGTGATGCACCACTATGTGACAAATGCACCAGAATATTACCACGAGAATACCAACAAACTGTAGTAGAAGTCCCATTGTGCAAATACTGTGATTTCATTTACACTGCAGTGACTGAAGAAATCAAGGTGAAGAATTCAAGAAAAGAGGCGAGTGAAGACCCCATCCACTTTTTGCGCTGTCAAATAGTTAACACGTGTAATTCATACCTGGAAGAGTACTTCTCTTTGAATTTGTTTATTAACCAACTTCTGTCTACCAAAGTGCCAAAAAAGGAGGACCTCAAAGTGTGTGAAGAGGAGATGAAAGTTGTGAAGGTGAAGACGCAAAAGGTGTTAGGGTTAGACGGTTTCATTGACGCATTTGAGAACCCGGAGCGACAGTCTGACCAAATAGTTACCAAGAACATTGTGAGAGCGTTGAATCAATTTAAAATAGAGACAGTCTTTGACTCAATCAATGAAGTTAACATCTGCGAGCAGTTGATTCTTGAATGCTCTGGGATCCACACCGTCGAAACAAAAGTGATTGGTATGTCGACCACATTAGTTCCAACAACGGGAGGTATTGTGAAGATATCACTTAATTTGACCAAAGACATTTCAGTGATGATCAATGGGATAGTGTTTTTTTATACAATTGAAGGTCCTTCGCTTATCATAAAAGTTCCGCCTGCAAATAAAGACCAAATCAAAGCCGATCTTAAAATTACATGTAAAGGACAAAACGTCGAACTTCCCGAAGAAATCAGATATTACGACGCTGGTCTCAATAGTACTGGAGAGAAAGTTGTATCGCTCGTTGGTAATAAAAGAAAGATATGTGTTGTCGAGTGTGATGACACAGAAAGTGAGTCTGATGAGAGTGAAGTAGTGAGCGATTTGAGTGATAGCATT